CTAGCCCAACGTCAACGGTTCAGCCTTCACTTTGCCGCCGTGGATGTGCACTGCACTAACTCCCAAACGGTCAGCTTTGTTGTTTTTGTAGTTGATACCGTAGATTGGTTGGCCGGCTTGGCTGTATTAAGATTTTCCAGTACTCCTATCCCTAAATAAAACTGTGTCAGAACCTTATCTTTCCACGGTGGACTAACGTACCTTTGCTTCTTTCAAGAATTTCACTTTATTTGCAATTTTCCCTCGGGTAGTTCAGCTAACGCCACTCTTCGGATTTATTAATCCAAATAAACAGCGGATGATTAGATAATAGTGAAAAATTGGAAGTTATGTAACTCCACGTGTCTTCACCATTCACTCTGCGATTGCGAAAATCACGAAAACCTATATATACGTGTGCCGTAAGTGAAACTATGCAGGGGAATGATTTCACATGAATAAAGTCTATTCGCCTGTACCTATTGCATTCCTAAGCTGAGCTTTAAGCTTTAACATAACTGTGCAATCGGATGATCTTCTGGATCTCCTGCATTCCACCAATTTCTTCGAGCTATGCTAGCGAGGGCGGTATGAAAAGTATCTTTCTAGAAAGTGTACCTAACTTGTTCGACCTTTTCCTTTTTTTTCTTTTGATTTTCGAATAGTTGGACACTACACACCGTCGGACACTTTACGCAAAATCGACGCATCAATTTTAGTAGTTGTGGGCAATCTCATAAATTGTTCCAAAAACGTATTTACGATATGCCCGGCCGATTTTACCTTTCCTTGAGACGTTCCCATGTAGTTTTGTGATCGCCAAATGTCGTACCAAGTTAGCAGCTTCATCGATAAGTAGTGTTTTCAAATCATGAAACTTCTGTGTGTTCGTCAAATGCTGCTTGCTATGAAGTGTACTTTCATAGATATCCTGAAAAGCTGACCACTCTGTGTAGTTGCCAGCGAACCGTTCGAAATGGCAATTCGCTTTGTATTGGTGTGACTGCACCTACTCTTTTCAAGCCGATTGGAGCAAGTATTCAATTTCAACCAGTAGGCAAATCAATGAGAGAAAAAAAAATTAATTAATCACTAAATAATAGCGAGAAAAGTTATAGATATATGAATATATAAACGATAGGGTATATGAATATGACAAAAGTTATTAGAAATAAGACAATTAATATATATATAAAGAAAAAAATAATTAAAAAAAAAAAAATATCAAAAGCATCGCACGTCAGACCAGCGATCCGCAATATACATCCAAAATTAAATAATCCGAAATTAAATTAAAAAATTGTAATCTTTAACTTTTTTGTGGTTAATGTGCTAATGAGGACAAGTCGGTTCGATGGGTGAGATTTGTATTTTTTGTTTACATTTTTTTTTTGTTTTGTTCAATCCGACCCGTGGTCTATTGGGTCGGAAACAACCCTGAAATCCCCGTAAGTTAGCTGGGAACGATAGACCAAGGTGGCAAAGAGACCGATCATAACAAACCTTCAAGGAAGGGCGACCGCGCGGTCAGCTTTTTATTCCTCGACGCTGACATTTCGAATTGTGTCATGAAAACGCCAAATGGAGTTCAGCAGGTTGTTCCTATGTCGCACGTTTCTATGTGATATTTAGCCGATGGTTTTCGAATTTCACCCTAATAGGCTCTGAACACTGAGCACATCCCGGGGGAATGGTGGGATTTTGAATATAATTTTGACAGATGTGAATCCCCGATTCACACAGTGCACCATCTGTCAAAAAATTAGCTGATGGCAACAACGAGGGGAGTCTCGGGAATGTGTCTCGGGAGCGACAGTGGCTCCTGCAAATAAACTTCCACCATTGTAAGGCAGCACGCATTATTTAGGAGCCCTGGGTCCTTGGAAACAGGGTCTCCGGTCTGAGAACTCCAGACTATAAGTTATACGTAGCTGAGACCGCAGGTAAAATTCGTACGAACACACTTGCAAAAAGAATGTTGCACTTATTTTTGCTCCTAAATTTTAGCAATGAAGACACTCGAAGGTCAGGAGCGCTCACTGAGGATCTGCTCCGCGTACATGGTTCACGAACAACCTGACCCCCCCCCCCTCACGCGCCCCTCCGGGCTATAATCGCAGAATGTGCGGCCAGGGACATCGGCCTAATTGTGGGGTGGGACGCCAACGCACATCACTGCCAGTGGGGAAGCACTGACAGAAACGAAAAGGGTAAGTTCCTCTTTAGTTACTTACAGACCACTCAGATGGTCTTATTAAACCGGAATAAACCTTTATTATTAAAAACCGCAAGAAGTCCTGGACCTCACGCTTGCCTCTCATGAGATAAAGGGGAACATTGGACCTGGACTGGCCTGGAAGAATACTCCTCGGACCACAGGTAGGTGGAAACTGTATTCTACCTTTGTAGGATTCTCCCTGTGTCCCCACCTGAGGAGGAATTTTCCAGGGAGGCCAAAACTCGTCTGGTTAATATTTTCAGCGACGCCTGCAAGAAGGCGCTCGAACAATCCTGCCCCTCTGGCAAGAACAGAGGATGGCAGAAACCTGCTTGTGGAATCCGAATCCGGAAAACCTTCCGAAGACTCCTTAACAAAGCTACGGCTGAAAATGTTGGGCAGAACTGGGCCGAGTACAAAGCCAGTCTGTCAACCTACAATAAGGAACTAAGGAAATTCAAACGCGCCTCTTGGCGTAAGTTCTGTGGCGAAATCGAGAACAACACAGAAGACTCGCGCCTGCGTTGAGTTCTCTCGAAGCCCACCCTGGGCTACCTGAAGAACGCCGACAAGTCTTTGACTACGTCCAGCGATGAGTCGCTAAATCTTCTCCTAAATACTCACTTCCCTGGCTGCGATGAAAACAGACCAAACTACTTCTCCCCTCCCTCTGTCGTTTTAGATGCTATCGTGGTTGCTATTTGGTTAACCAGGAGAACATTGCCTGGGCGATAAAAAGTTTTTAAGTTATAAGTCTGCGGAGCTAGAAGGCCATATCCCTGCCCAGCTGATTCACGCAGGACAAAAAGCCATTAATTGGCTCAAAATAATTTACGAGGGAATCTTATCCCACGGGTGCATCCCTGATACCTGGCTTCAGACCTAAGTCGTTTTTATCCCCAAGGCAGACAAGCCCTCGGACCGGGGCATTTACTCCCGGACGGTCAGCCTGATCGATCAGATGCATGACGGTTGAGGCATCACTGGGCCCGTCAACGTCCACCAGATTTGTCAGTAGAGTCACACCGCAGAGCGGAGTTCTCTCGCCCCTCCTATGGAACGTGGCAGTGAACGAACTGCTAGAGATAGAGGCCCCAAAACTCTGTGGAGAAGCGCTAGTCTTTAGCAACAATGCCAAGTATCTTGGCCTAATCCTCGAAAGAAAGCTCGATTGGAAACTGAGCATAAATGATAGAGTAAAGAAAGCCACAGTGCACCTCTATACATGCAGAAAATCCCTCGGAATAAAATGGGAAATGATCCCGTATATAGTTCGGAGACTATGCACCGCCATTCTGGACCTCCTCCCCGTAGATCTCATGGGAAAGATGGTGGCAACACTTTCCGCCATCAGTATGAGAGGAGCCAAACTGTGGAAAGCGTTCGCGGTTGGGCACTCGGGAATCCGATTATTTAATCCCTAGTGATCACCTCTCTACGCCTTTCTAGGTATCAATCCCATCTAGGAGGGACTGGGAGATGGGCGAACCTGCAAATGCTGATGGCTCATTTCGATATTGTCGAATTCAGCGACTGTAAATGACTGCCGCAGGTCTCTGCATGAGATTGCAGAGCAGTAATATCTCTTCCTTATATGGGTCCCCGGCCACAGGGACTTTGAGGGGAAGAACGCCGCCGACGAGCTCGCCAGGCAGGGTATTGCGATTCCTCTCTTATCAGAGAGAAAGTAGCGATGCCTCTTGTTACGTGCAGGCTTTACTTCCCGTAATGTCTCTAGATCGATATGGCCTTATCGATCGAAAAAGCGCTCGGCGGAGCTATATAGACTCAGTAGGGCACAATTCTCTGCAGTTACCCGAGCAATTACGGGACACTGGTAGATTAGCACTCACGCCGCTTTCATCCCCCACTCCCCGGTTATCGCCTTAACCTAACCTAACCATACATACAAATATTAATTTAACTCCACCAACAACTTCCTATTCTCTATATTTTGTATTGTTTCTGGTGTACTTTTGTCTTTTTCTGGTCTTCAACGATTGGAAATTTAAAAAAGGATTGGAAATATGTGGACATTTTTTTTATGATTATTCATTGTTGCTTATACTTATACTATTATACTAAGAGCATGAGAGGAGTGTGCTGGAAGAGGAGAAGGTATCGGGCTACACATGGTAGTGGATCCCAAGATATGGGATGCAAGCACTAAGTCTGCCGTTACAATAATGCGGGTGTTTCGGAAAGCTGAGAGGGCAAGAATGAATGGTTGTGCGAAGCAATGCGGTTGTATCGCACATCTATTCCCCATTATCCCACCAACAAAACACTGTCTTATACCCTACTAATTTGTTAATATTAGTATGCTTAGTAGAGGAAATAAACTAATGGAATATAAAAATAAAATAATATATTCAAAATGTGATATGCATCTCTATTTCATATTATTAACATATAAGCTGATATTAGCTGCGAATTTCGTTTTAATATCGAGCCTTTCTTTCTGTGTAGAAAAAAGGCAACAAATAAAAGAGACAGGAAACTTCAAAAAACCCTGCTATTTCTTCGGCAAAAAGTGAATTCTATGCGGACCTACCACAACATCACCTTAGTTATTGTTTACATTTACCATTGGCACTATTGTAAGATGTTAGTCCGCTGCACGAAGTTTACGAACAGTATTATAGATGAACATTTACCGGCGAATTTCGATTTGATATCGAGCTACTTTTTTTGTGTGGCATGTTCTTGAAGAGATCAAATTCTCTGTCCTCCCTCTCCCATACATATATTCTTGTATTTTGTGTTACTTATTTATTTAAAATACTGAAACACATTTATATAATTAGTTAACTAGGCTTAATAATATAGCTGTACTTCGCTTTATCCAATGATCAGCTGTCTCACTACCGGACTTCAAATCTACGGCTATAACAAAGGATCCAGATCGTATTGGATAATAATAGGCTGGGCACTGGTAAATTCCCCTTGAGCGCTTTTTAAGGTTTTCGACTGGTTTAAAGTGTATTACGGGTAAAGGGCTGATCAATTCCATGGGAAGTGGATCTTGCAGGCATTGATTTTTCCTGAGCCATCCAGCACCCTCCAGAAACAAATTACGTATATACACGCCACCTCCTTCACGAATAATACGAGCGGCAGCTGCATCTTCTTCAACAAATACATAAAACTCCCAAGACAATTCATCAATAGGCGTCTTGGTAGAACGAGCTGAAGTTTGTAATACTGCCGTAACAAATCCAGTAGGAAAAGTATAGGCTGCTAGCCAAAAAAGAGTTGGTGAGCGGAGCGTTTTTGCCCATGTGTTGAAGTGGGCAACACGAAGAGTTAAATCCCGTGCCCAAGCAGCTAATGGCTTTAGAGAACTGTAAGCTGTGTAAATCAACGTTGTTTAAATTTAATATTTTTTATTTATAGATTAAAGCTACTTTATTGTATGTTTTACCTTTTAACCATTGTAATGGAACTCGGCCCTCAGCCACCGCCATATATATATCCTCCAAGTCAGAGCTCATTACTACCAATCCCTGTATTCCCCTCCGTAAATCACGCAAATGTGTGCACATTTCTCGTAGAAGTGTATTATAGCGTTCAATTTCCTGAAGTAATACCACCTCTAGGGGAGTTCGATTTATTCCAATTATCTTAGCAGTTTGTTCATAATTTATCTCATCAGGCGTACTCATTAATATTTCTTTAGCTAGATCAGAAACTTTATCCTCTGCATTGTCGCTACCTTCAGAACCAGCTGTTTGTACTTGCATTGAAAGGAGTGTCTCAAAAAGCATTCGCGTTTCACCTATAAGTGATGCTATATCTGCATTGGAATGCTGACCAAAAGCTTCAGGCTTATCAAAATTAGGAAACATTTGTATTTGGTCTAAGTACGTCTGTACATCACCATCATCAGGTATAAAATAATTTGTTAAAGCGGAAAGCCTGTTAACAACTAAATATTTATGTTTACTATATTATTATGAGGCTAGAGTTTACTTACCGAAACTTTCGAGTATTTAATGCTTGATCGCAGTAGAATTGATTAATATATGTAGTTAGTAGTCGCCGATCCCAATCGTCGGTAACGTGTCCTCCGTAGTTAACACCAGCTATTAGATACTTTAATGCACCCCAAGGCGTCTCTTCATATTCATTTAAATATAAAAGCAGTAATATTTCAGACACTTCAAAGTCTGAGTCATTGAAACTATATATAACATTCCAACCAAGTTGTAAAAATTTTTTGCGCTCGAGCAGTATAGTATGGAAAAAACATAGTGCGAAAAGCAGTTTCTTATATTTACTGGAGTCATTGCATGTATCCATATTAACTTCATTAACATTATTATATAGACGTTTCATATTTGCTTTTATTCCACGAGGCGGCTCCGTCGTCATTTTTATACTTGTTTGAAGAATTGATATGGGGAAGTCTGGATGAGGACTTGAACTAAGCCAAAGTCTAAATTTTTTATGTAATTTCATGGATTGCATTGTAGTTATCATTTTGTCAAGAGTAGGCATCCAACTTAATGCTAAATGACAGTTTGCTAAGAATACCCAATTTCCATCTCTTATGCCATCCATAATAAGCTTTGTTGCAACAGGAGCTTGACCTTGACCCAAGCTGAGGGAATACATGCGCTGTGCCATTTTAACAGATTCTGATAATGTTATAAGTGATTGTGCAGGATCAACCCCTGCCGATAGTACAAATATAAGTGGTGTTTGAGAAATAGATTCTTCGAAAGTAGCTTTTAGATCGAGAACGGGCGGATCAACATATCGTGGACCAAGCTTAGTAATAATAAATTGAGTCATACAGAACGAAATACGATCTGGTCGTAATGAGCGTAAAACACATATCTTTTGAAAATCGCTGAGCTTATCATTCCACTCACCAACAAGATCCTCTTGTTCTGGAAAGGTCGTCGCGTACCAAGCTATTGAAAAAGCAATATCATAAAAAACTGATCATTCAATGCTCCTTTTTTGCAAACAACATTACGATTTTTTATATTTTCGAACGATATTAAATTGTTGTGCTTTTGAAACTTTTCTATTCCTTTCGACGAAACTTTTTATCGATTAACGGAAATAAAACTTTCTGAACAACACACTTTCTCTTTAATATACTTTTATATTCTAATATCGTTGGAAGTTAGTATCTAATTACTTTAAAATAATTAAAACGGATTTGTTCAATATTTCTTTGTAACTTTTTAACTAATGCCAGTTTATTGAATTCAAATTTGTATCCGTAATATGTTATTTTGGTTTATTTGGCAGCATTCCAATTTGAGTTGTCTTTACAAATAAATTTATTAAAAATAAAAAACTATACTTTTATTTTTGAAATCGCTCGATCATTCAAAACCGTTTTAAAATAGTAGAATTCTTACGAAGACCGGAGTACGCAATTTTCGAATTCGCAACTTTTGTGATTTGCTATAAAAGGAGCATGGCTTAAATAAAAAGTTTTTATAAAATACCATTCCAAGACTTAACATTCTGCTCGAAGGAATCTATTATGCCATGGAACCCAGAAACTTTATCCAATTCTGTAATATTGTCCCAGTTTTGCTCATTAATCCACCCTATATTTATATAATTCAAGAAGTTAAAAAAATATTATTATTAACGTACGTATTACTCACATGGTGCCGGATTAGGAGCCTGTCCTTGTTTGTCTAAAACTATCCCACCTTTCAATATAAAATCGTACTCGTCTTCCATAAGTTTTCCGGCATTTGAAAGTATTTTTGCTGTCATATGTATTGAAAATAAAAGCTTATGTCTTTCAAAAAGTCCTCGACATGTATTACGATATACCGAGTAAGTATGATAGTCGTTGATATTCTGTATTCGCTCATGTATCAATTGGTTACGTGGACTTCGTTCAATAGAGTGCGTAAAGAGTAAAATATAAGCTGCTAGTGAGAAGACATACATTGGATCAATTTTTGACATGTCCATTAGCACAAAGAATAATATAGCTGCACGTTCTGATGCAGGCTTATATTCTTGACGTGCTGCATCAATTTCTACCTCAGTAACCTCAGCAATAGTAAGAGATTCCTTAACAAGTACAGAAGTTTGGCGTGATTTCTGCAATGTTGAGAAGAGCTCATCATCATCTAATAATGAACCTCGGCTCTCATTAAGTAAACGAAGTATTTCGTTATCAAGATCAATTAAAGTTCGTTTATTGCGTGCTATAGTTAAAACTAGCTCATCTTTTTGTTCTTCTAATGCTGGTTTTTCTTTACGCACTATTATTCCTAATAGCTGTGCTTCTAAGCCATCCTGTTTTAGAGCAAAGTTAACTATAGTGGTTTTAGATGAAGTTTCAGGAGGGTAGTGAGGATTTCCTATCTTTGTTGTTATATAAAACCGAAATTGATCGTTATAGGAAATATACTTGTCGTTAAATTTTATTAATTTTTCCCCACTCTGAATTGTGAAACTTCGACGAAGTATGGGATTAATGGCTTGGTCCAAATTTTCCCCGACATTTTGCAATAAAACTGGTAGCCCTTCTTTAAGTGCTTGTTCCAATTGTCGAATATAATCAGTCATACCAAAGTCAATAATTATAAGCTGATTATGCGCCTCCATATTCTTGATCCAGTTATTCGCTTGCATCTGCGGATCAATAACAAGAGGCCAACGGCTTCCTTGTGATACTATTACACCATTTTCTGTACTTAGGTCATCAGCTGGCAGACCTTGTATATTCCACTCCCGTATGGAAACAGCATCACTAAGAAAAGTTGTTATTTTTAATTCTGATGTGGCAGGTATAAGAAGATCTTTAATTAACTGCGACCACTTGGATAACAAATCTTCGCGGTACTTTGTATCAAATGCCCCTAAATATGACATAAACGCTATAGATAACAAGCAGTCTCCGGGAAGTTTTTCAAATGCAAGATCTAATTGAGAAACCGTATCAATCCAACGCTCTCGTTCACCAGATAATGATTCTACTAAGATAATAGCTCTTTCTAATTGTTTTCGCAAGCGCTCTTCTTTTGCTCGTAATTCATTGAGAAGTTGAGTTTTTTCATTCAATTGCCGATACAGCTCTTCAATGACTGCTTGCAATTCTTCAAGCTTTTTTTTAGCAGCTGCTAACGCTGCTTGTTTTTCTTCAAGTGATCTCATAGCATTATCTAGTTTTTCCTGCTTAGGAGCCACAATTCGATACACTTTCCCATAGTTTTCTATTGCCATTATCCATAGCATCAAAGATTTACAAGCAACTGAAACAACAGCTACCTTATCTGGTTCTAGTTCCGGATTTTTTGTATACATAGCAATTCGCTTAAGAGTTTTATCTGATATGTGGTCACGGTCAAAGTTTTTTAAGTCATTTAGAAATGTTGATTCACTTAACACTTTTTTAGCGTTTTCCCAAGTGGGTTCTTTTCCAAGCAGTATTAAAACTGCTTCCATTACCTTTTCAATTTTCATGGGCGGGCGCCCGTATGATTTGACTTCAGCTATATCTTTTTTATTAAGTGCATCTAATGCCTTTACGGCAGCGTCAATCATTGGCATTACCACTTCTAAGTCGGCACGTGCCGTGGCGGCCAAATCGAGACAAATTACTTCTTCGCGTCTAATTATCACTGCTTCTGCATCTACTTTTTCCTTTTGCTCTGTTGCCTCGGCCTTTTGCACTTCAATCATAGATATAAACTCTTCACATTCTTTAGCAAGTATTTTAACTTGTTCTGAACTAATTTTTAACTCCTCCGACATTAAAGACACTTTTTCCTGCGTTTCGGCAATTTTTGATAAGCCATTACGTAATCTATTGGCTGCCGTAGATACTTCCAATCTTTTTTTTTCAAGGAGCTCCTTGAAACCGCTAACAAGTTGTAAATAATTTGGTGATGTTACGTAATTATACCTCTTAACTTGCAATAGCATCAGGTCTGACATTTTTACTACACTTGAATGAATAATAGAAAATGCGTGTGCGATGTCTCGATGAAGCACACTCTCTGTAGTGATGACTAAGCTTTCACGATGATTTTCATCCTCTTTTCCTGGAACAACAACGTTTAGCTTAAATCCGTGCATAAAATGAGAAGCTACTTCCAAAAGAGCTTCTTGAGGCCATAGTCTGAACCAATTCGGAGTTGTTGAGCTTAACAGAGCAGGATATTGCCTTATAAAGCTTCTGAAATTTTCTCCAATAGGACTAAAGCAGAGTGCTATGTGCATAAAATCGCGTACATTTAACATAAAAAATGAGTACATTGATTCCGTTGTCATTACAATTCCAGCTTTCTTTGCTGGTCGTTCGAGTTCATTTTTTAATTCATCAAACTCATCAGACTTGAAAAGATTTATTTCAGCAGTACTTAACATATTGTTTATTATTTCCAAAAATGAGACTTCAGCTATTTGCTCACTACTAAATACAAAGAGCGTGATACGCTGTTTTATTCCTGTTAACTTATAAAGATTTTTTAAATCTTCACGTAAATCATTTGTTTTATATTTTTTTGTGACCTCAATTTGAAAGATTCCCATTTCTAAAATAAATGCGGCTAGTTTGGCAAGTACTTGTCGGCCTGAGCCACCTATACCCATGTTAAGAACATGTCCACGCGGTTGGGAAATCACTCTCAGTATCCTTACAATATGTTCAATAGCTTCTTTAAAAAAAACTAGATTCATACGTGTCATCGCCGGAAAATTGTTGAACTCATTTAATTGAGTTTTCATATAAACTCGCAAGGAATCAATTTCAAGATCTTCATAGAATCCTTGTGGGTGAACAAAGTCTCCAAAAAGTGGCGGTTGCTTCGAAGGACAAAGACTATGGAAAGTAACTTCAAAATGTTTTCCTAAAGTATCATTAATTGTATTCAGAAACCAAAGATAATCTGTATCGTCAACAAGACGATCGCAAAATACTCGAAAACACTCGTGTATCCATAAACGCAAGAAAAACGATTTTTTTGTTTGTAGTTCCTGTGCACTTCTTAAAAGGCCTTGAAATACTTTTGAGATATCTCGAAGATTAAATAGGTAGTGCGACTTATTTGGTGTTGGCAACATTTTACCAATAACAGCTAAATACAAATAAATAGTACATTGTGTAATCGGAAGCCACATCTCACGAACTTCATTTGAAAAGGACTCCAGTTTCTGTCTAAGCATAGAACCGAAAATTCGAACGACTGTTTCCTGAGTGGGAAAAGTTAGATTTATTAAGACAAAGCGGCTTTGAGTACGACTGGAAATCATTTGTCTACCACCACCCGGTGGACCCATAGCTGCCATCAACAGGGTGTTTTGGACATATATTTTTTGCTGTGTTTTGCGATTAAACCAATACTTATAATCAATCCATTGCCGTATTAGCTCTAATGGTGGCTGTGACCCATAAGTATCTTTGGCAGGCATATTGAAGTCATCCATAAAGCATATCATTCTTTTACCACCAATAGGTAAAAATTGTGTTTTGGTACGTTTTTCGGTTCGATTTTCTATTGATTCCTGTAATCCAGCTGCAGTGGTCTGTGCAGACATGTTTACGGAAAGAACGCAGAACTTGTGTTTATCACATGCTTCCATTACACTTACTGCAGTTGATGTTTTCCCCGTGCCAACATTACCAACAAGCATAACAGGATAATCTTCAGATAAAAGTTTTGATACTACATACTCGTAGCGCATGGTATCACCAGTTGGAACAAGGATTTTATAAAATGGACATCTAAAAATATAAGATAATTCAAACCAGTTAGACTAAGAACCATAAAATGGGCGTTACATTTCTGATCAGCGCGGTACCAATAAACGAACTTCATCTAAGAAAATAATTTTCTTTACCTTTGATATTTCATGCTTTGTAAGACGTAAGTAAGAATAACCGCATGTCACTTTGAATAAACGATTAATCACGATAATCTAATCCAACCCCACACCAACTCACACTCCCTACACTTATTGAAAAGCTACCGATTGAACGTGGAAACCCGGGCGAAGTTAAGATGTTTTCCCGCTCGAAAACCATTCTTTACCCGTTATTAAATGCCCGTAGTGCAGTGAAAATACTATACTATCCCAATAATTGTTATAATAACAAGGGGGAACGTTGTGAGTCGCTGTTACGGCCGAAATATTTATACCCGATAATTGATCAGTGGCCACCGTCAGCATTACGGTGCACACAGTGTACGACAAACAGTGAGTGCGAGAGAAGCAGAAAATGAATAATACTGGCCAGGCTGCGTAGCCACTGAAAATTCACTTGTTCCGTCTGGCAATTATAATGTTCTGATCTGACTCTGTATTCTGTAAGATAGGTCATTCTCTATAATTCTCCGTTTTTTGTTTTCTCTTTAAAATTGTGCATACCGCAGATTTTCGTCCTTTGTTGGGGTGGAAAGGGGCGTGATCAAATTTTGAATCAAACTTCAGTGTAATATCACAGGAGTCTGGATACAAATTTTCGGTGCTCTAGCTCTTATAGTTTCTTAGAACTAGGCGTCAAACATGACGGACGGCCGGGCGGACGCACAGACAGACCTGGCTCAATCGACTCGGCTATTAATGCTGATCGGAAAAACCCCTATACGCAGTATCGGGTATAAAAAGAAACGTTTGCTATAGATGTTGTGAGAGACAAAGTGGGAGGAAAATAGTCAGAAAACATTTTAAACGTAGGTTCCATAATTGCTAGCCATATTTGCTCTAGATCCCAAAATAAAAACCGAAGTCACCATTCAATTGTCCACCAAGAAGATTATCACTGGCCTCATTGTCAATTCGACACTATTTTTTCTGCCAAATTTTGGCTGCAGCATTTAATGGGGAAAGAGTTTAAGGAAAAGAAGAAAAATATGCGTCCCATAAATCTCACAAATCAGCCCAATGTGCCATCCATATCTTCCAATCCTTCTTGCACCTAAGCCCGACATCCTTTTTCGAGATTGCATTTGTATTCCACGTAGTTGTATTTACCGAGACCTGGCTAAAACCGGAATTCTTAGTTCCGAAGTGTTTTCAGGTCGGTAAACAACTGTTAGAAAGGATCGTTCGTCACACGTGCAGGAGGGGTTCTGATTGCAGTGGACTCAAACTCCACGTCAGAACACTTCACAGTTTAGGTTCATCAATAACTAAAATTCTTGTGTGTTATTTGTACTTTTCCTGATGGGCAACACATTCCGACTGGCTCATTTTTAAATTTGAGTACATGATAATGCGGGCATTCCTTTTCCAAAGTACCAATAACCACTTTAGAATGAGCATTATATTGATTATTAGGCTCATACTGCAATCCTAGTAATTCTATAAAAACTACCTATACCGATGCAGGATACATTTTTCACAGGACCCTAAAAAGTTTTACAGCTTCGTAAACGGTAAGCGTATAACATCCGCACAACCATCCTCGCTAATGATCAGACAATTTTTTTGCTCTATTTTTACAAACCATCTATTTTCAGACAAGATACTCCGATAAGCCGTACTTATACACCTTTACCATTTAAGATCAACCGCCTAAGATAGTTACATACGCCCAAAATAATTAAGCAACATAAAGATGTTGAGCAACATTCGCTGCAGCATAGCTTAGGATAATAAACGGAGAGAGAGTCGCAATCTCACATTGATGAAGAACGGTAGTGCCTTTTATTTCTTCTCGTCTCCCCCGCAAGCAGCTCTGGTCCACCCCGCTAGTCCCCCGCGTCCGCAGCCTGATTAAAGGAAATTACCAATATCGCAGTTAAGCTAGTGTTTTCACCGGGTCCTGACAGAGCTCCCAAAATCAACCGCTTCTATCAAGGATATTTGCAGACGGATGTTAGCAAGGCATTTGATTCTGTGAACCATACTCACTTATTCCCAAGCTGTTCTTATTATGTTTTGTCTTATCTTTCTAACCACACACAACGTATTTTGTACTGACATAAATGTTACGTCTTTGTCCCACAAGGTACCCGATACTCAAAATGAGTATATTATATTGGGGTATATTAGATTTGTGGTGAAAATGGATGTGTGTAACGTGCAGAAGGAATCGTTTCCGACCCCAAAGAGTATATAATACCTTGACGACTTTGTTTCAAAATTTCGCCACACCCCCTTCCGCCCACGCAAAGGACGAAAATCTGGGGCAACCACAATTTTGAAGATAGGAGAAAATTAAAAACGCACAGTCATAGGGAATGTCCATATCTGCCAGATTGCCGAATCTTGCCGAATCCGAATCACATCGGATTATTGTATTATTATTATTATATTATATATTATATTATATATATATTATTATTATATACCCAAAAGTAACTAATCAATTTTGCAGGGCTACGCAGCGCCCGTCGACACTTTGTGACTGATTTTACTTGCACACACGGCTTCAAGCGGGCATAAAGAAACACTATGGTGGTGTTCAACTAATCGTCTTTTTCTGAATCTTTCTAAATGCAAACATATGAAATTTTACAGGCGCGCTCCACAATTTGTCTAGTACCTTCTAGGAAATCATTTTCTGGATCGATTTTCGAGTTCAAATGACCTTAGAGTCCTTTTAAATCAGAAATTGTGTTCTAACAATCATATAGCCGTAGTTGTTTATAAAGCAATTGGTGTTTTAGCGTTAGCTTCAAGCGTTGGCCCAAGCATTTTGACGACCCGTATATGACCAAACAACTGTACATCTCGCTAGTGCGGTTCAATCTAGACCTAACCATACTATTCGGCCTAACCGCTTAACCCTATGTAGGTCAAATTACACCCAGCTTGAACCTTTTAGGGTTATATGCCATAACCTCTCATTGTGATACCTTATCCCCTGAACTCTCCCTTAAGTTAGCAGTAAACATGTACACTCGCCTAAACTTAGCAAATTTGTAAATTCTTTTCTTTTCTACTCTCCTGTATTTTAGTTAGTTCTAATACCATTATTTGCAGGCAATTGCAGGCATTATTTGCAGGAAGATTTCAAGCGGTGCCACAACGGGCCGAAACCGGCCTAAGTGTGACGAGCTCCTAGCGAGACTATCAGCCGCCTCTACCTAATCTAACCTAACCTAAGTACGGGCAAAAAGGATTGCAAGTAAAATAAAATATTGACAAAATACTCACTCTTCATCATATCGCCAACCATCTGAAAGCTTGCTATCCCAAGGTAAAAATGTTCGCATCTGTGGATCTACAAAGTAATCATATATGGTATCCTTTATTGGAAAGCAGCTTTCTATTTCTCGTATAAATCCATCAAGTCTTAAACGACCATCTTCATCTACGCTTGCACATATTGACCACACTAAACAAAACATAAACCACAATTTAGTCATCTCCTCCAATAATTCTAAATTTTGTGGATTTATGCCATTCTGTTTTGTTGCAAAGCCCTCTAGCAACTTACACAACGACATCACGCCGTTTAACTCATTTGTCTTAACGGGCTCTTTGCAACGCGTGCGCTTGTGCTCAAGCAATTTTGTGATCATAAATTCAAAATGAATCTTCAGGAAATCGGCAAACTCCTTTACTTTTTGGCGCTGTAGCCACGAGTTAACATAAGGTTTCCATCCCCAGTCGTTATAGTCATTATATACCATACCACACCGAGATACGGTAGCAGGCGAGGCTACAGCTAAATCGCCGACTTCAAACAATAGCGAAACCTGCGCAGGCATAGTTATACGTTCACTATTTACAAGAGTAAGCAGCTTATTATCATCCATTACTGAATTCATATTTTCGATCCAGACTGCATCAACGGGTCCATCGAACAACAGCCATTTTTGCATTGGATCTTCATCTGCGCAGATAATACGCATTATAGAACTGAGCACACCGTCAAGCCATTCACCAGTTGCCAAATTATACTCCCCGTATAGCTCTGCCAAATTCAATGCTTTAGGATTTACTGGATGCACAGATACAGCCTCCCAGCCTTGGAATCGTTGCGCATTCATACGGCAATATGCTCCTTGTAATATACGCCACGTTACTGATTTTGCTGTGCCTGTATCACCTATAATCATAACTGAATGTCGGGAATTTTTTGTTTCATAAAGTTCTATGACCTTTTTAACTGCTATAGACATTGGCTGCAAGTTAGCATCCTTAAATTCTTCATATATTGCAATGTTAAATTCGCTGTAGTCTATTACAGGCAGATTAACGCCAGGAAAAATATCAGAAATAATTCCATTAAACAGTGGCAAGTCATTAGCGGTTAATCGAGCTACATTCATATCTTTCATAGCTAAGTAAACAATTTCTTCTTCATTTGTATTTGGCAACTGACGGCGTTTCCGACCTGCGTACCGTAAGAGAGCTACCATTGACCGAAGACCAAAGTCATAGTGATATTGCTTAGATAATTGCTGCTTAGCTAATTCGTATAAAGTAAAAACCTTTCGCGCTAAACTTCGCGTATTGGTAAAACCGTCAGAAAATAGCAAATTCTCCGCAATTATTATATTATCTGGAACCATCATTGAAATAGGACGAAACATAGACTTTAAGTTGTCGGGCAGCTCAGTTCTACCGGCATATCCTGGATTCATAGTAATAAAGAGTCCCACAGTATGTTTTAACTTAATCATTTGACCTTCAAACATGAATTCAATCGATTTAGCAGACAGTGCTGCCATAATAGACATTATTTGTTGTGCTACAACAGATAAAACTTCAATATTGATACGATTAAACTCATCGAAACAGCCCCAAGAACCACTTTGTGCCAGGCCCGAGAAATTTTTACCTATGCTCTTATAGTCTAGACCTTCTGAGCAGTTTGTGACTATAACCCACATTCCCAAAGCCTTGCCCAAATCTTTAACTGTCTCAGTCTTACCGGTACCTGCAGGACCTTTCGGGCTCCCGCCACGATGGAGGTGTAGGGCTGTAGTCAGCGTTATATAACATCGATCAGTAAGTGGAGTTATTACTAGCCTTCCGGAATTACCTGTATATTCATAGCCATACCAGTGCTCGGTATTAGTCTGCCTTATAATACATAGTTCTGATTCACGGTGCCAATAAAACCGTAGTTGTGAAAACCACTCAAAATGGCCGGTATCTTTGCAATTTGCTTTGTACATCCGTTCGATAACATCTCGGCCATGAATCTCTAAGGTGATAAGAGTATTTACCTTAAGTCGCATTATTTTGGTAAGTTCTTTTCGGCTCATCTCTGAAAGTTTTGAAAGAACTTTTATCTGTTTTCTTTTTAGTTTTCGTAGAGGTTTCTTTTGGTCGACCATATTACAGTGAATGAGACTGCGAGTACACTCTGTAGTCCATTGTATCTGGGCAGTGGTAAGTACCATTTGCCCGGGCCAAAGAAAAATCCATTTCTCACGATTTCCAATTAGTTTTTTTAAAGATCTTCTTGTTAATTTTAATAATTCTTTCATTACCGTAAACATATACTCCTCTACCTGCCTTAGCCATCGTTCCGAGGGTCCGTCAATATAGAGAACTTGTTGAAACTCTACAAATTCCCCATCATCAGAGTACATACCAGAACCTTGCCAGCGATTGAGCGTTTTTCCTACTCTCTTAAGCTCAAGCTTGTATAAATTATCAAATAACTTTTTTAAATGTGTTTGAACTAAATCTGGTCTTTTAGCATTACCCAATATTTCTAACATATCATCATTTGAAATAAAGTAAAAGCGGGGAAATAGTTGGCGTTTAGTTTCAAGATAAATCTCTAAGGCACGCTGAATAAGCTCCAGTCGTTCATCCATGCGGTTAAATCGATTTAACAAAAAAGGTGGGGCACGTAAGTGAGTTGCTTTAACTGCCGTCTTAGCTTGGAACATCTTGCTAGATATAGTTTGAAACTCTTCGGTAATAGTCGCAAATCGTTTAGCCTCATCTGGAAGTTGCTTACGTATATCATCACCTTGAAATATATTTTCCAAATAAAGCCACTGCCGTTGCACTACTAATCCTTTTTCAACACTTTCGCTAATATATGATAAAGTTTTCTCCCAATAATCCACAATTTCAATGAATGGCTCCACAAAACGAGTAGCCTTCATAGCTGATATCTGTACCATGTGATCTTCAAGTAACTGAAAACAATCCTCTACGTTCTTAATGCGATATATGCCATCATGATAAAATGCCATTTCAAACCCTTGTTTTTTCCAAACTGAAGCTATATTTTTTATTCCATTTTCAATTTGCAATTCCATAGTAGCTGCATTTGATATATCTTGAATATCTTCAGAAAACGCTTGAAAATCTAAATTTATAATCAGTTCTAATGTAAAATTCTTTGAGTTCTCATCAAAGTCACTGAAACGAAAAATTTATTTAATTACTTTTAATCAGAAAACTTGTTGTTTAGCTCGTACAATCTTTTTTTGTGTCGCGGTGTAGTCAAGACATTCCCAATCAGCAATTTACAATCAGGCTTTAACTTAACTAAACATAAAATTTCACTTACTAACGAGCGGGTACTTTGTAAGACGCGGCGCAAATTTTTTTAAGAAAAAGTTAAATTTATCCCTAAATTGCGATATTTTGTGGAAGTAAAAAATATTTATAATTTACTTACACCTGAAGAACGTCGCGAACCCGATTCCAATGACGCTCCCGCATGCATGGATTTTTTAATGCTGTTATTAATGGTAAAGTACGTCGAAAGCTGTCTAAATTTTTCGTGGTCACTTCAAGCATTTCCCAGTGACGATCATAGAATTTCTTACTTAAATTGCTAAATTCTTTATACAAACTCAGGGCGTAATCCTCCATTTCATTAATATTAATTTTCCAAAAATTTCCCTTTTTCCATCCTTCCCAACTTGTTTGCCAGCCAAGTATTAGATCCCATATGTTCTGTACAATTTTAACTTCAGATTCCAGCTTCCGGAGGTCGACACTTTCAGGTTGATTAACATTGAATACTGACAGATCACGCATTAAACTTTCCTCAAATTTAAAACAATCTTCAACTTTAAGAGCTATAATTTTGAGGAATTTAAGTGCAACTTTTGGATTTCTGTAAAAAAAAATAGTTTAAATCATAATGGAAAAATTTACATTTTTAGTGATTTACATATTAGCAGCAGTTGGTAACTTCAAATAAAAATCGTCAAGAAATTCTTTGAGAATAATTTTAAACTTTTCGGCCTGTTGTAATAAAATTTTTTTAAATTCTTCGCGATTGTTGTCTAACATCTCATCCGCCTCTGCTAACTTCTTAAGATAGTGTTGCCATGCATTGTTCAGACCCAGAACATTTTGACGTATTTCATCAAGGATGTCGACTTGATATTTGTCTAATACTGCAAAAAGTTCAAGCATGGGAGGAAATGTGGCTTGCCTAATCGGCACATCTTCAATTAGTTTCTCAAAAAATTCCTTGGCAGCCAAAGACTCTTTAAGGGTACGTGGCACCATTGTTAGTTTTCGTTCGTTTCTTCTCATATACCGGTAGATCGCTGTTAAAAAGTAAAATAAAAAATTACCTTTTTTTACATAAAATGATACTTGATACCTACATCGTATTAATGAAAACGAATGGTTTAGCAGAATTTTAATATTCAGAGCCTGCCATTTTTCAATCCAATCAAGTATCGAATTCTTTATGTAATTTTGATTCATGAGTATAAAGTAAACATGCGATATAGCATCAACAAAAGAAATGTCGTCTGCCATTGTGCTGTAGTATTCAATGCTTGCCTCAAAAATATCTGCCGTCATTGGAGTGGATTTAACACGTTTTGTAAATTCAGATTCCGATGTCTCCCATAAAGCCTTATGACTATTCCAAAAGGATACATAGCCAGCTATCTCTTCACGCTCGTGATTTATTTCTGCTTCAATAATTCGAATAATTCCCCTGCATTCCGAATCTTCTCGAAAAACTTTAGAAAATGGATCAGACTGTTGCTCTTTTGGCAATTTCATTTTATTAGCGATGCGGGGAAACTGTTCAAGTATATTGTGAACTCGGTCAATATTCGCATTGAGTAAACTTGCAATTGTGTCCATATCAGGAGTTAGTATAACCTGCCTATTCTTAACATCAGATTCCATTACGAGTATAGGCGCAGCTGCCATGTCAGCCTCACGATGTAGGGCAGATGACACCATTGTCAAAGAGTTTCTTGCACTTGTGAGAAAAGCTGTTGCAAGCATGTCATCAAATACATTAACAAAACTGTACCATTCAATTGCCATCTAGAAAAAATGTAATTACCATAATGTATTACATTATGCAAATGTATTTATGTCCCAAAGAAGCGATGTTATTCGAGCTGACATTTACACAAATTTTATATAACTCTTTAAAGTACATAATTATAGGCGGAAATCCAAAATCAGGTAACAACATTTAAACATTTGATGAGTGGTTTCGAAAAAATGGAATATACGAATCTTAAAGAGCTGTACAGAACATTCAAAAATAAAAAAAAACTTAATAAAATCTGATAATTTTAAAAAAAAAATTTTATTTAATTAGGAACCCATTTTGTCAAATTTTATAGACAAATGTGTCTTCCCCATATCCGAGATCAGTTTCCAGCCAGACGGTAGCCCGACGCACAAGGGTAATTTCGTGAAAAATCGTCCCAATAACTCGAGTTTTCACTTAATCCAGTGGCCTGGTCAATAGCCCAGATCGAAATCTCATTGAAAATCGATGGGCTCTGTTTAAAAAACATTGGAAAAGTCCAAGTCTGCACCAAAGGGAATGCGTGAGTCTTTGGAAGCGCGTGAAGTCGGAGTGGCGCATGATACCTGGCCAGCACCTCCTAAATTTAGTCGAGAGTATGCCAATACTTATTCGGAATATAATAAAAGCTAAAGCCCTTTGGAACAAATATTTGTAAAAAATTATTAAAGTAAAAAAATTTGAAACGTGCAAAAGTGGATACATGCTCATTTTTTGAACAAGTTAAAATGTCTTAAGGAAAAGGATCTCTTTGAATTGAAATTATTGTCTTTTGTCATTCTCACTAAATTAAAGAATCTTTAAAAAAAAAATCACAAGGATTGATTCATTTTTAAAGATTTTACAGGCGCTTAAAGTAAAAAGTGATAAACATGTATCCACATGTGCTCGCCACTGTATATATATAAGCTCATTTTTAAGTAACATAAGGATGGGAGAAAGAAATATATTATAAAATGCATCAACCCGAAAATAGTGAAAAAACAATATCCGAATATTCGTGCCGACCTAAATAGCCGAAAGTCTGGTCTGATGAGCTCGCGAGGTGACTCAAAGGGGGCCTAGCTGAGGCCACCGGACGGGTCGCAGGTTACGGATAGGGAACGGCCTACCTCGGTAGTTCAGCTGCGAATAAGCGGTCATCCCTTATGGGAGAGTACCGAAATAAGCAGTCCCGGCTGGTGTGCGCAAAGAAGCAATAGTGAAGATGCGCTTGTGGTGCCGCCTTAATAAGTAGCTCACACACCCCTCCCCCTCACCATACATACCCACATCCCATCCCCCACACCGACCTCACACCGGGCCGGACTACGCTGGGGCGAAACTCGTCGCAGTCGACGACGCAGCATATCGAGGGCCAGAATTTGGGTGCGGGGTCCCCTTAAGGAGCCAGAGCGCATCCTTAAGATGTTTCAGAGGTGCAATCCGAACATGACGACCTCTGACTGGAAGGTAGCCAGAGAAGAAACGACGCAACAAGGTGTCGCTGGCCCCGATAGAGGCAACTAATGGTGAGCTGAATGCTGGCTTCAGCTTGGTCGCAAGTCAGATGCGGTGGCCGCGGCGCATCCTGTCGACAACCCCTTCAAATCAATATCCACCACTGTAAAGCAGCATCAGCTGCCCCCGTACTCATACATTGTATCCCAAACCGAAGGTAAAACCAGTACAACACGGCGGCCAGCTTAGAGATAAAAGAGACTCATATCAGGCTGGTGTCGACCTTGTTCGCAAACTAGCCAGCGACAGGTTGCGATGCCAACGGTCACCATACCCAATGGAGGAGCACGGACACAAACGTAAGGGGTGAGTCTCCTTTCAGCTTCATCCTGGACTCAAATTTATTTATTTGTAATCGAGGCAACGACCCCACTTATATAATTAAAAATCGGCAGGAGGTTATCGACCTAACGCTAGTGTCAAACAAAGTGTTAGACACAGTCAAGAGTTGGAAAGTCCTAGAGGACCATTCCTTCTCGGACCACAGGTACATCGAGACGATATTATCCCTAGATCCCTAAACCCACTGACTATATCAACCCCAGAAAAACCAAGTGGGAAATATAAAGCATAACCATGAAGAAACTACTCCCACCCAATCTATACCGTCTTGTAAACAGGTTCACGGAAGCATGCAATAATGCCTTTGCGGCAGCATGCCCCTCTAACAAACCTAGGGGAAGGGAACCCCCCTGGTGGTCAAAACAAATAGACATCCTTCGCAGAAGCTGCAAGACTCTTTTCAATAGAGCCACAAAAGCTAACGAGGATAATCACTGGGAAGACTATAAAACCAGTCTAGCACTATTTAAAAAAGAAACTAGGAAAGCAAAAAGAGCCTCCTAGACAAAATTTTGCTCCAAAATCGAGGAAACGTCGGAGGTTGCAAGACTTCGGAAGGTCCTCTCAAAAACTACCCCTTCGGTTACCTTAAAAAAAATGATGGTACGTGGGCCAACTCCTGTGAGGACACCCTAGAGATTCTACTCGATACTTTCCCTCCTAGGAGAGGGATCGGTAAAATCGTAAACGAGGGTGGTAAAAAGGAAATAGATTCCAGTGGAACCAATTATAATCAGTGCCAATACATCTTTGCAGGGTGAGTGCACAATTAGTGGAAAAAAGTCAGGTTAAAAACGTATGGAACTTTTCCTAACGTAAGGCATCCGCTTTTTTCAAAGCTTGAATGTGGCCCAGAGAAAAGTGAACCAGACTTACAGGGCCAGGGTCCCCGATTTAAGTTGTGAAGGAAGCGTAGAGAACGAGATACCAGCGAAAACGGAGGGTCAACGAACCTTGGCGACGGCGGTCCACGGCTCGATCGTAGTATTGGTCATCATCTACCGCAGCGGCGTCTACGTCTGCGCCTGCACGCATAAAGCAGAGAACGGGAAAATCTTTGGGCGAAAACTACACGTACAAATACCCTAACATCATACTGTAGTAACGGGCCGCTAGAAAAAATCTTCCTGATCTACAGCAGCGGGGGAAAACTCCGACTAGGAAATCTGAGGGTATCGAGAGTAGCTACTGCACGGTTGAGTGCCTACGCCTCGAGGAAAGAGTATTCCGTAGTTGACTCGACAACGGAAGCATACTTGCATTTTTGTTGGTTCTTCTCTTTGGTATGTCTTGGCAAACTAAAGTAACGTAACGTAATAAAGAAAGAGAAAGGGAAAGAAAAGAAGCACGTAAAGAGGAAAATCCAAACAAATGCTAATACGGGGTTAATCGCGCAAGTGGATTAAAATTTAATACGATCAGTGGTGCCTCACATAAATAATCAATTGTTTTTTTGATTTGTGCCAAAACGGAGAAGGTATCGAACCGCATCGGAACGACGAAGACCTTCGGTGGACATGAAGAGTGAGTGTTTATCAAAAACCAAGAAATGTAAGGTATCTAATTTGTTTAATTGTTTATTTGTATGATTGCACCGACATTAAATGATCGAAAATTAAGCGTGAAAACAAAACAGAAAAAAAGCAAACATAGAGATCAAGAATAGAAGTAAATAAGAATAAGAAGTTAAGAATGTTGAAGAATGACCATCTCTAGCAATGCACGCATGTATTGACAGACATATGAGTATGTAGACGTATGTATGAATGAGAGACGTAACGAAGCGACGTTCTCTTATCTCCCTTTTTGTTCTCTATTTCGTTCGGTCTCTATCTGCCTGCGAGCAGAGCATTTTTTAGTCACAAATAAACCTTACATATGAATGGTTGCGTTTTTACTTTTCGGTACAAGAACTTCCCTTGCAACGGCAGCGAAATTCTGTCCAACAGGTTATGGGCCCAGGTTCGGATTTTGTAAATTAAAAGTAAAGTGATTGTTTTAGTTACGAACTATTAACATCGGTGTGACTCAGAGACTAAACGATAATCAGCAATGAGCGGGATGTATCAAATAGAAAAATTAGAGGAGGGAAATTATGACTCCTGGTGTATTCAAATGCGGTCTGTGTTGGTGCACGCTGAATTGTGGAGTGTGGCATCTGGTGACCTGCTACCAATGAATGTTCCCGAAGGTGTGAATTGGCAGGCCAAGGATGAAAAGGCGCTGGCCATGATCACATTGAGTGTGAAAACTTCACAGTTGGGATACATTAAAAATTGCAGTAAGTCGTCCGAAGCATGGAACAAATTAAAGAGTGTTCATCAACCAAGGTCCACTTGGACCTAGGTACGAAAGGTTCAACTGTACAAGAAATTGCTAAGCAAGCGCATAGACCAAAGGCAAAGCATTTCAAGCTACATTAATGAGTTCATGGATATTCTTGATGGCCTTGGGTCAGTAGGAATCGAGCTAAATGATGAACTGCGCTCAATTGTTTTGTTGTCAAGCCTTCCAGAACAATTCGAAAATTTCGTTGTCGCCATAGAGACGCGCGACAGTCTGCCGACTTTCGATGTTCTATGCGTAAAATTGAAGGAAGAAGGCGAACGAAAGGGAAACACAGAAGATCAAAAGGAATACGCAAAGGCATATACCGCAGTACATAAGCCGGCCGCGCACAGAGCGCAAAAGAAGAGAAACAATACAATGATATGTTTCAAGTGTGGTGAGCGCGAGCATATGAAGGCTCAGTGTAAGAAGGAGAGCGCAAATGTGGAAAGGGCAGCAAGAGTGGAAAACAAGCAGTGCAGTCTATTAAATGCGTTGGACGCAGATAATTTGAAAAAGAGTATGTGGTGTTTGGATAGTGGTGCCACAAGCCACATGTGTTGTGAGAAACAGTTATTCACAAAGTTCGAGAAACACACAGAAATGATTGGTCTGGCTGACTCCGGTTTCGTAAAAGCTGAAGGAAAAGGGGAAGTAGAGCTGAAGACAGAGATATGCACTCTGCTGTTAAAGAATGTTCTCTATGTGCCCGAAATGAATGGAAATTATTTCTCGGTGAGCAGCGCTGTACAGAATATATGTTTCGTCACTTTTGGACAAGAATATGCACGAGTTATCCAAAATGGCGAATGCATTGTAAAGGCGAACAGAGTTGGAAACTTGTATATGTTTCGAGGAAAACAAAACACCTGTTTTGCGGCGGTTAAGGCTGATGGTGCCCTGTGGCATAAACGGTACTGCCACTTGAAAATCAGCAGTATGAAAGATTTGATCAGCAAAGGAATGGTGCGCTGCATTGAAAATATGGTTTTCCCGGCGAATATGAATTGCAAAACATGTATGGTCAGCAAGATTCATGCGCAACCATTTCCTGTTGCAACCACCAGTAGAGCTCAAGATATATTGGAACTAGTTCATGCAGCTGTGTGCGGGCCCTTTGGCTCACAGTCTTTTGCTGGATCAAAGTATTTTCTAACCTTCATCGATGACAAATCAAGGCGTATATTTGTGTATTTCCTGCGGACAAAGGATGAAGTCTTCCAGAAGTTCGTCAAGTTCAAAACCCTGGTTGAACGGCAAACGGGAAAAAGTCTCAAATGTATCCGGAGTGACAATGGCGGTGAATTTGTCAACTGACAGTGGCGTACACTCCACAGCAAAACGGCGTTGCTGAGAGGGCAAACCGCACTCTGGTGGAAATGTCAAGATGTATGCTGGTCCAGTCAGGATTAGCCGAATCCTTGTGGGCTGAGGCAGTCAACGCAGCTGTGTATGTCTGTGTATCGATCACCGACCAAGGCGCTGACCAGTAGTAACCAAGGAAGAGTAAACTTCAACCAAAAGGCAAAGAATATCGCATGATTGGATATTCAGTAGCGGCTAAGGGCTATCGACTGTATGACCCTGTGTCTCATCAGGTGATTGAGAGGCGAGATGTTCTCTTTGACGAGATCCAAGACGACAAGGATACAGTCACATTCGAACTTCCGAAGGCAGAAGTTAGCATGCAGTCAGGCGGCGATACTGATGACATTGACAGCAGCGGTGGAGACAGCAGCCATGGCGCAAGCGTTGACGGGAAGAATCCCAGTAGCAGCGGTACTGATGGGTACGAGAGCGCAACAGAAAAAGGTTGAGTCAGATGAGCCAGCTCTTCGCGTTGGACCTGGTAGACCAAGGCTGATTCGGACCGGCAAAACCTGGCCGTCCGAGAAAGGAGTACAACAGATATGATTGCAGATATCTTGACCAAGAATCTCCCTAAGAGAAAGCATGTCGAATTTACAACATTGTTAAGTTTAAATTGAGTTAAATGGAATTAGTAAGCATGCACGCATTAAGGAAGGGTGTTGAAGAATGACCATCTCTAGCAATGCACGCATGTATTGACAGACATATGAGTATGTAGACGTATGTATGAATGAGAGACGTAACGAAGCGACGTTCTCTTATCTCCCTTTTTGTTCTCTATTTCGTTCGGTCTCTATCTGCCTGCGAGCAGAGCATTTTTTAGTCACAAATAAACCTTACATATGAATGGTTGCGTTTTTACTTTTCGGTACAAGAACTTCACTTGCAACGGCAGCGAAATTCTGTCCAACAAAGAACACCGAATGTGCAATGCAAGTAATAGTTATTCCATTCCGTTTTCTGCGCATCGTCGTATAAAGTCGATATGGTGTTTATGATAGACATAAGCAAGAAGCAATAATATTGGGTTTTGTTTTGATTTTCTTCTAAATAGAAGAAGTAAATAGAAGGCATGATATGCATATGAATAGCACTTATAAATCGAAATTTATGAAATATTGGAATTTATTATGTTAGAGTAAATAAATGGAGTGATAACGTGTGTCATGTTTTCCAAAATGGGTTAGAAGAGGATAATTAACATGTTTTAATCGTTTAGGGATTTTCCCATAATCATTGCCATTGGAAAATCATTGGTAGGTTGGGTATAGAGGCAATAGCGTTACCATAACATCTAGTTAATTGCAAGCGGTCCGAGTCCCCCGGTACTCTCTTCTTCTTTCAAGGTTGTTATTGCCGTGCTGCATGTAGAGTCAGATAGGCTTTACGGGACTCTTGATAATATGTGGTGTAGGTGTGTTGAAATGGACGCTTCAATATCCGCCAAGCTAGCAAGCTGTCAGAATGGAAAGAAACGCGCGGCCTGCGAGTAAATCCCTAAAAAACGGAACTCGTATTATTTACAAAATAAATACAAAATGGGAGCAATACGTCTTAGAGACTCTGATCAATGGGTACTTCAGCAAATAGGTCACTCATCCATACTAAATAACAACCACATTGTCCCAGTAAGAACGGACTATCGAGTTCCAGAGGACTCCCTTCAACACTATCATCCTCCACAGAGACGAAAGGCTCGAGGGGCTCCCAGGCCAGATGGGGCCATAAACATATTCACGGATGGCTCGAAGCTGGACGGTAGGGTCGGCAGGAAAAGGTGAAGCGCAGTCATACATTCCCTTACAGGACATTCCCACAAGTGTGGCGGGCTCCGAGCGAGTCTGACAGCCGCCTCTACCTAACCTAACCTAAATAGCCGAAACCTGTTCTGTTGAGTTTAAGCTTCACAAATTCAACAATCCCCAACCCCCTCTCCCATGCGTCCCATAGCTGTGTCAACTGCAACGTCGCGTGTGTGAGTGCTTGCCTTGCGCGCGTGTATTGTGTGTTTGTGCAAAGAGTGCACCAATTGATAAGAAATTTATTTCAATCTAAATATAATTCAATTTAAACCAATCTGTGCAAGCCTTATAAATAGATCGCATCATTTATGCAGATCTTGAGTTCCGCATATTTTTGAATTTATAACGAAGCAACAACAACGCAAGCGCACCAGAAACTACAATCAAAATCAGTTGTTTGTTAGCGAGAAGCGAGCGGTTTTACAACGAAGAGTATTTTTCTGTCATGCTGATCAATAATATACATATATACTTTATGGGGTCCTTGTGGACGTTACACACACATCCATTTCCACCATGAATCTAATATACCACAATACTCACTTTGAGTAGCGGGTATAAAAATAAATTCAACATTTTTGTTAAGACCTTAAAATAAAAGTCTAGATATTTGCAAGTTGTGTTTTCTTAAAATAAGAGCCTTATGTTATTATGCCCGATACCTATTATACAAAATATACTTTTGACTGAGTCAGCTTTTTTCACCAAAACATAAAGTGTTTTTGCCCTGACCAATTATTTTCGAGTCAAATTTGACATTTGGAACGTTGGCACGAAATACATTTTGCGCATAGCACAGACTGTTCTCGTAACAAGCGCGTAACAGAATTTTTGACCAAGAAGAGTTTAATTTTCAATATGCATGCTGTCACAGCAGACATCTCCTTAAATCGATCACTTTAAAATAAAGGCATTGATATCAAGCTTTTTATTTACGAAGAAACCAGGTAAGCTGTTTTTTTTTTGCCATAATCGACGAGATAATGAAACATATCGATAACATAAATTTGTGAAAATAACATCACCTTAAAACCGCGAAAGTAAGTAAAAACCGGAGCCAGCCCGGATAAGTCAATAAGTATGGCACTAATACATATACACTTACATCATCAATGACCGATTGGAACTCCTTAAATACTGCAAACAATAAGTCGATAATAGTGTTATAGTACCCCCGAAGTACATTTGTAACACGGCGGATGTAGTTTGTCATTTGATATTCAAAAAGTGATATTATAACCGCACCTGTAAAATTAAATTTAAGCATGGGAGTATCGCAAATTTTTTCGCATGTCCGAGCAACATGTAGATTTGCTCGCTTATAGATATCCATGGTTTCTTGAAGCTTATTAGTATGCTTTGCGCAATCTGCAATATAAGCATCGCTAAGTTCACCACCATATGTCAATTTAAAAACTCCAGGTGCAATCTTGCGATCACATGCCTGAATAAGGGCGCGAAAAAGTTTTCTTTCTTGCTCGGAAAGTGCTGATAGTATATGGTTGTAGTTAAGGCACACCTGTACTACACTATTATAAACAAACCGTAGAGTTTCATGTTTTTCATAAATTTTTCGAACAGGTCCAGGTACTCCAAATCCAAGGCGCTCAAAATGCTCAGCTTGTTCACAAATAATTAATACTGTGCGGTCAATATTACATTCTATTAAACCTTTTTTTTTTTTACTTCGGATAATAAGATTCCGATCCAGTTTTTGATTCAACGTACAACAATTTTTCTGCCATTCATCATATATCTTTTTAATCTCTTTGTCGAATTCTTTGCGTAGAACTTCATATTTGATTAACACAATGGAAGCCTCGGATACATTGGGCAACCATTCTGATGAATTTAATCGGTTTCGTAACCACTTTAATCGTTCTAGATTAATGTGGTACCCAATAGCACGTGAAGCATAGTACGGGACCCAAGACTCGTGCAATTTACTACGATCCATCAGCATTTGGGAAGTACTATCTATTTCATTTGCAAACATAACCCAAACATTTGAGACTTGACGTAAAAATGTCTTCCGAATTGTATTGCGATATGAATAAAACAACAAGATGTTCAGCGATTCTAAGGCCTCTTCAATATTACAAACATGCTGAAAGACATTGGACACTAGCCGCTGAACGGTTTCTTCCATACTTTGAACTGTCCGCCGGTATTTGATTACTTCTTCGTACCATTCATTTTTATGCACATTTAATATTAATTCTTTCGAATCGGTACTTAACGCTGAGAGCGTGGCCAAAAAGTTAGTCTCAACGCGCGCAGATGTTGTCTCGAATTCTCCTCCACTGGTACCTCCAAATTGCGGCTTAGGTATACTCTCAGTTTCATCTAATCGGCCAAACACGATCATTGATTCGCATATGTCAATAACGTCATTAAGCCGCTCCATAAATGCATCTACATGATTAAAAATCATAGCATTGTCCAGATTCCAACCGTACTCACTATTAATTCGTCCATGTTCTTTTGACATAAGATCATACATTCCTTTATAAGTCAGGCAACAATCAATGCACATATTACACATTTTTATTCCGAATCTTGAACTACCGGAAAGTATTTTATCAATATTAGTTATTTCCGTACAGAAGCGTATAATTTGATTGCTTAAGTCTCGGAACAACCCAGTTATCAAGTCACGCCGATTATAAGTTTCTGAATTTAACCAAATGAATCGAATTAAATGAATTATTCCAGGTATAAGCTGGGAAACAAATACTGGGCTATCAGCCAAATCCATTTCAGCGCAAGGATTCATTAGCAGATGTAAAAACTTTATATTTGACATTCCTTCATCCATTTCATGCTTCGATTCATATATTAGTTCATCAATCTGTTTTATGTATACCGAATGAGTATTACGCAGAACTCGTATAATTTGTTGAACATCAGCTTGTTCTAATTGTGCGTTTAGGCCTTGTAAAACTTCAACTGTTATGTAGATAATTTCAACATAAAATGTAGACAATAAATTAAATGAATAACTATTTTGCACCAAAAACTAACTTACAACGGTATAGCCAGAACTCGTACTCATCCTCAACACTAATAAATTCATTAGAAACTGGCAGTGTTTTGTCATTTAGGAGTGTTCGAATTTGAGTAGCCCAGGACACTGCAATAACTTCCAAGTTCTTAACAAACTCTCTTTCATAGGATATGCTTTCTCGATCGATTTGTTTTACGACGTATGGTACATATAAAACCGTCATACCAGCCATTTTGAAATGGGCTCCTGTTAAAAAGGCCAGAAACTTATCTAGGGCTGTACAGAAACGCTGCTTTACATTATCTCCCCATTCTTTAAAATTACGAAAGACGGGGGCATAAACAAATTCCAAGACATTAAGGAGGCAACCATCTACATCATCATGAATTGTCCCATTGTGAACCAAATCATGAAAGGTGTCGACTGAGAAGTTTTGATTTGATGAACGTATAAAGTAACATAAATCTAGCACCGGGGCAACTGGAAATCCAAGACATCCTGTTAGAACGTTGCAATCATAAAATATTGTAAGAATAGTTTCTGTTGACTCTAGTAACCATCTTTCAATTACATATAACAACTTTTTATTCCAATCGCGGTTATCTAATGAATACAGAACAGTCATCCTCTGAACTGATTTAATAAGTTGTTCAAGTTCCATATCTTGTGTATTTTCTAGTTGTGAAATTGTATGTGATGACTCAAAAAAACCATCTTTTAAGTTGTTCCCTAGGTAAATTAGAAAATACTAAGACTCAACGGACAAGGCAACAAATCATAACTTACCAACATCTTGATCGTGGTTTGCGGTTGTTAAAAGACTGTCTTCGGTAATGCTACCAGTCATTCTATTATTATATTCCTAACTTTCCAAGTTTGAAATTCTATGAACTGATTAAAACCGTTTTTAGAGCGTACACTAATGTTGATTTCCAGGCTTACTAAATTTAATGTGTATCTCTAATACATACATATACACCTAATTCTGTTTTTACACGGTAGATTGGTTCCTAAAAAAGGCCCGTAAAAAAAGACATGGATCGTATGCAAAAATAGTCCGCTTCATCTCCATAATACTATCATTCTGTAGGAAAAAATTAGAAATCATTGGAAAAACAAATTTGTTTGTTTGAAAAAAGGTACTTCCGTGTACATATGTAAATTTTACACCGTTGTTCCTTCCACTTTGTCGATCGAATTATTCCTTGCATGAACCGTTTAGGGTCTTATGCTCGGAATATAATTCCCTCTACCATATTATATCCACCACTAATTCTCTTCCTCTTATTAAATTAAAATTACTAATCCTTGCACACCTTTCTAGTAATTAGTAATTATAGTGGTATTTGTATTTTAAATGCATGTCTGGTTCTCTTAGTAATTTAAATTTTAATTTTCCTCGCGTAACACACTTCTGCTGAACATATTATCTTTATGCTCTTTCTTGTTTTCGTTTAGTTTCTAGATGTTTTTTCCTGTAAGAAAATTTAAAATTTTTTATTTTCAATCCGTGTTATTCTAAAACCATGTAAAAAGATCGTGTGATAACAGAATTAGGAGTATACAAATCTTGCAGTTTGCTGGAGTATCTCTCGCTTTGTTTCCTGATGCTGATCCTGTAATTTTCATCCTGCTGCTCTTTCTGGACTTTCAGAATTTTCCGAGCAATCTCCAGAAGATTTTCCAGTTTAATACGAAACAATTGTACGGTGAGGCTTGTAGCTGCTGTGAGGAGGCCTAGGGTTTTTGGGGTCCGCCGAAAATTAGGCACCATATAACGAGAGGCAAGAGAAATTCTCTTTAACAGTCGGCAAAGAGTGCCTGGGATCAGAGAGTTGGTCAGAGCCAGGTCAGACTTCCTCGTCGAAAGGAGAGCGGGTTCGAAGTCGAAGTTCGACAAGAAGAAAGGCTACAAACAGATGTCATTGGACGCCATTGCAGCATTCCAAGCCTGGTCGACAGCATTGGATGGTGTTCATTTTCTAAAGTGGCAGCCGGATTTTAAATATTAAAAAAAAAGAGAGAGAAACCTTTTAAATTAAATAACGACAAGGAAATGTATCTCAGGCAGTGAGGCGTTGTATAGTGATACCCTTGCAATACACCCTTTCGACGGGGCACCCGTTTGGGTAAGTTGAAAAGAAAAACAGCCGAGTGAAGTGTATAAAGGTGTTCTGTGTGTGCAAATTTCCCTAGGTTGGAATCGTCTTCCACGACAACCAGCTGCAGGTCATAGAAATTCGCCGGTGCTTTGGGACGTCGCCTTGGAGCAATTTGGCGAGCCAGAGAGGAGAGGCCAACTAGTGCCCGGCAGCCGCGTCGGCTTGTTTCATCGCTCCGCGTATGCGTCCATACCCCGTGTGTAGGGGAGGAGGCAGAGAGAAAAAAGTGTTCGGCAGTTAGTGGCTGATCGAAGTTGAAATTGTCACAGAGATCTAGCCTGGTCCAAAAGAAACAAAAAATAGCAAGAATAAGAAAAAAAACGAGGGGGAACGTTGTGAGCTGCTGCGGACACCGCAACTCTACAGTTATACCCGATACTAAGTCAGTATGGCTCTCCTCCGGAAGACGCCGCGAATATTAAACGACACGACAAAGAGTGCGTGCGAGAGAGACAGAAAATCAGTCTGAGCGTGACGTCGGGCGCTGCGTAGCCCCTGAAAATTGATTTGTTTCTTTTGGCTATAAAAATTATCCGATCTGATCAAAATTCAGCAACCGGATAGATATGGTCATTTTCTATGATTCTGCGTTTTTAGTTTTCTCGAATCTGCAATATTGTGGATGCAACAGATTTTCGTCCTTTGTGGTGGCGGAAGGGGGTGGGGCGAAATTCTGAGATATACGTTTCATAGTGAGATCTAACAGAAGTGCGGATACCAAATTTGGTTACTCTAGACTTAATAGCCTCTGAGATTTGTGGTTGCCCCAGATTTTCGTCCTTTGCGGGGGCGGAAGGGGGTGCGGCGTAATTTTGACATAAAACGGTCAAGGTCCGATATCACAGGAGTGTGGATACCAAATTTGGTTGCTCTAGCTCTTATGGGTTCTGAGATCCTTGAACTCATATTTTGCAATTGGCAAAACCGTCCATGAAACCTGTGTGTTAGAGTGAGACAGAGCGAGAAAGAGTGAAATTGTTTTCGTGATTCTGGCTATAATAATTATACGATCTGGTTCAGATTTTGCACTCTAGAAGATATAGTCATCTTCTACGATTCTTAATTTTTAGTTTTCTCGTATCGTCGAACTTGTGGATGTCACAGATTTTCGCTCTTTGTAGGGGCGGAAGTGGGCGGGGCAAAGTTTTGAAATATTTTTGTAGCAGTGACATATCAAAGAAGTCTGGATCCAAAACATCGTTGCTCTAGCTCTTATAGTCTTTGAGCACTAGGCGCTGATAGGGACGGACGGATGGACGGACGGACGGACGGACAGACGGACAGACGGACAGACAGACAGGGCTCAGTCGACTCGGCTATTGATGCTGATCAAGAATATATATACTTTATGTGGTCGGAAACGATTCCTTCTGGACGTTACACACATCCACTTTTACCACAAATCTAATATACCCCAATACTCATTTTGAGTATCGGGTATAATAACGTAATACAGTCATATGCTCTAAGCATTTTTACCCGGGTTATTTCATTGTCCCTCTTCATTTAGGCTTCTTGATCTCTCTATCCCTTTCCTTCTTTCTCCACCTAACTTTGCCGCTGAGGGCGAGCCCCCACATACCGGTGCTCGATAAGCGCCGGTGATCCGCAAAGAGGAATGCGAAACTGAGCGCAGAGGAATGCGGAAGGGGCGTGAGGGACGGGAATAAGAGAGATAGAAAATCACAGTAAAATTAGCCCGACCGAAATTAGCCACTATAGTCGACTCCTGGGCCAACGAGACAACCTGAAGGATACTGCTGGATACTGGTTCAACTATAACGATGGTCGCCGAATCATTTATCAACGAATTGGATTGCCGCGCACGCATACTCGTATACCAGTGGTTGGACCAGGCGCAAATCCTGCTGGGGTTACTAGAGGTCGCGCCACATTACGTTGGTCTCCCGCACAAGCTCAGCCCCAGTGGTGGTAACACCCCTGGCTATTAAAACTTTGACCTCAATTTCAACCCAGAGGATCGAGTCTACCACACCGATGTGTGAAAAGATTTGTGATCTACCCTTAGCGGACGGTACATTTGGTAAACCAGGCGAAATATTGTATGATCAAAAAAGTTTTCTCCTGGTCAAATCTCTTGCGAACAATTATCTTTTGCTTCCGCTTTGTACATCGACTTCGTTGCAAGGACCGCCGGTCATCGTTTTTATCGTCATGGGAGCTTCAATATGCCCGCTCTAGGGTAATCCAACATGTAAAGATGGAGTTCTTCCAAGTGGAGTACAAACAGCTGAGCCAAGTTGATTTGCTACACTCCATTTATTAACGACCAAGGAATTCTGCGCGTAGGAGGACGCATTGGTAATTCGACTGCAAGATTTGTTTCCTCCAGCGCAAAGGTACGAGAACACAACTCATGGCTGATCTTCCCGCCTTTCGCGCTCAGCCCACCCGCTGCTTTCTACATTCTGGATTGGATTACGCTGGACCAGTTACCATCAAGACATCAGCAGGATACCGAAGTTTGGCAAAGCTTGGTTTGCCATAATATATATAAATAAATAAATCTGAACCAGATTGTATCATTATTATAGCCAGAATGACGAAAACAATTTCATTCTATCTCGCTGTCTGTCTCTAACACACACGTTTCATGGTCGTCTTTGCCTATCGCTAAAAATGAGCACCTAGATCTCAGAGTCTACAAGAGCTAGGAGCAACCAGGTTTGATATCCACATTCTTGTGATATCAGACCGGCACAAGTGTATTTCCCCCTTCCGCCCCGCAATGGACGAAAAACTGTGGCATCCACAGATCTCCAAAACTATTAAAGCTAGAGCAACCCAATTTGGTATCCACACTCCTGTTAGATTTCACTGTTACAAGTTTATTTCAAAATTTCGCCCCACCCCCTTCCGCCTGTGTCATTCACAATTTTGAAGATACGATCAAATTTAAAACGGTCATATACAGAATGACTATATCTACCAAATTGCTGAACCTGGATCAGATAGAAACACTATTATAACCAAAAGGAACAAATCAATATGCAGTGACTACGCAGCGCCCAACGACATTTTGATATTCCGTCGCTTTCGCACGCACTCTTTGTCGTTCGTTGTTACGCGCCGTCTGCGGAGGAGAGCTAATCTATCGGTTTGCTGCCGTTGCACCATTAACTCACAACGTTGTCCCTCGTTATTAATGAACTGGTGGGTCGTTAAATCTTTTAATCTACTAATACAGGATTTAAGCACTGGGCTAAATAATTTGACTATTATTTTGCTTTAATATTATTTCAATCAACATTTTTAAAAACAAGTCTCATATTTTAAATTCAAAATTTTTAAATATACAGTTAAAACATTTCGTAATGATACCATCACGCTATTTGACTACTTGCGATGATGATAATTCACGTGTGGCCATGATACTTGGTGGTGATCAACGTCCTCTACGCGGAGAGTCTACGATACTGTTGGCTCCAAAAATAAAGCTCAGCAGTGGTTATGAAATGCCCGTTTTAGGATTTGGGACGTATAAGGCAATATCCTAGACATGAATATAAATTACGTATTAAAAAGTATATATTTTCAGTTGCGCGGTTTCCAATGCACATCAGCGGTACATTGTGCAGTAGAAACTGGATTTCGTCACTTTGACACTGCATACTACTATGAAAATGAAAAAGATGTAGGCGAAGCTCTTCGTACGCAAATTAAAATGGGAAACATATCTAGAGAGAATATATTTTTAACTACGAAGGTAAACAGTTATAATTTATAATAGTCTTATTTAAATTTTTGTTTTTAAAAGTTGTGGAACACTCACCATGATCCTCGTGATGTGCGTCGTATATGTGAGCAGCAACTGAAGCTGCTAGGATTTACCTATATCGACCTTTACTTGCTGCATTTTCCCGTTGGCTACAAACATATGTGTGATGAGATTCTCAAGCCAATGTCGGACGGTAAATTGCAGACAACGTAAGTACTACTGTAGAGAATGAATAGTTCATCCTAAAGATTGCTACATTTTCAGCGACGTTGATTATATAGACACCTGGAACGCTATGGAGGAACTCGTAAAACTAGGCATGGTTCGCAGCATTGGCTTATCGAACTTTAATATGGAACAGGTGCAACGGGTCATTCAATGTAGTTCCTCAAAACCAGTGGTAAACCAAGTTGAGGTCTGGCCGGGTTTTTTGCAAAAAGATTTGGTTGACTACTGTCGCTACAATGGCATTGTTGTAACTGCGTATTCACCTTTTGGTCAGCCAAATAGAGAAAATCATAGCCCAACATATTTCTTTTCGGAGGGCATGAAGAGATTAGTTAAGAAATATAAAAAAACATCTGGTCAAATAGTCCTGCGCTTTTTGGTAATAACATACTGCTTTGTTAGGTGAATATTAATAAAATTTTTTTTAGGTGGACTATGGAGTCGTGCCTATACCCAAGGCGGCTAATCCTTTGCATATAAGTCAAAATTTAAATATATTCGACTTTAAGCTGGACGATTCAGATACCCGCGCATTACTTGGAATAAAGCCAAAGAAACGAATTGTAAAGTATGATATAGTAAAAGAACACCCATTTTACCCTTTCGAACGCGATGAAGAAAGCCAGTATCAAGATGTCAATAACCTTCAAAATGTACCATTGGCACGGGAGCAACGTGAATCTACACTTAATGACGATGATCAACGTGGGGAATAGAATTGGTATCACAAATTATTTGATTAAAAGTAAAATGTTATACAATTAAAATTTATTTAAGCTTCTTTTCAAATATACAAAATTTATTGCATTAAAAATGTTGATATTTAAGAAGAATTGTTAACATAGTTCGTCTAAGCGACGTCACAGGACACAACAAGATGTCTAATATATCATAAGAGTTAAAAATAAAACATTTCAACTTTGATTGCATGGTTCTCTGAGAACTATGCGTCAAACAAGACGGTCGGAAAGAGTCGACTCGGCCATTGAGGCTGATCAAGAATAATATGCTTAATGGGGTGAGAAAAGTTTCCTTCTGAGCGTTACACACATCCACTTTTACCACAAATCTAATATACTCATTTTGAGTATCGCCACGTTCCATAGGGGGGGCGAGAGGACTCCGCCCAGCGGGGTGCCTCTGCTGACAAATCTGGTGGACGTTGACGTCCCCAGTGATGGGGAGCGATCAGGCTCACCGTCCGGGAGTCAACCCCCAGGTACGTCAGTGCACCCGTGATGGCGGTCGGGAGGTTGTTACTAAAGGCGCCTTCTATGTCGAGGAAGGCTACTAGGGTGTACTCCTTACAGTTGAGGGACGCTTCTATGATCGATGTGATCGTGAGTAGGGTCGTTTCGGTGGAACTTCCCTTCCGATAGGCATACTGGGAGTCTGAGATTCGACTAGGCGGACCAAAAGCCGTTAGACTCATGGGTCTGAAATCTTTGGGGGCAGTGTGACTTGGGAATGAAGACGACTTTGGTATGAAGCCAGGTTTCCGGGATATATCCATGGGAGAAGATTCTTTCGTATATCCTTTCGAGCCAATTAGTGGCTTTTTGTCCAGCGTGAATCAGTTGGGCAGGGATGATGCCATCTGGCCCCGCAGACTTGTATGGTTTGAAGATTTTGATTGCCCAGGAAATATTTTCCTGGCTTAGCAGGTTCATGATATCACTTGAGGCAACGGAAGGAGCCGTGATGCAGTGTGGTCTGTTTTCATCGCAGCCGTAAAGTGGGTGTTAAGGAGAAGATTGAGCGACTCATTGCTGGACGTTGTCCACGATTGGTCGGCATTCTTCATGAAGCCCAGAGTGGGTGTAGTCATTGAAAGAACTTTGCGCAAGCGCGAGGCTTCTGAGTTATTCTCAATGTCGCTACAGAACTTACGCCATGAGGCGCGGTTGGCTTTCCTCAGTTCTTTATTATAAGTGGACAGACTGCCCTTGTATTCGGCCCAGTTCCGCTCAACGTTCCCAGCCTTAGCTGTGTTAAAGAGCCTCCGGGAGGCTTGTAATATTCGACACTTGTCGTGCCTTCTTGAATTTTAATTATCCACGGCTAACTCCCAAAAGTACAGCCTAAAACTAGGACGTAAAAATATTCGAGTTGAAGATCTTTTGAGCTTTGATAAAGCTTATCAACAGCTGTTTTGCGACCAAGCGGCAACGCTTTGATATGCAATTTTTCTGCCGTGCACTATATTAAATATTATTAAATATTGCTGTGTCTGGATTCTGTATAACAGAAGAAGACCATGGAAAGTGTGAAAAAAACGTGGGTTGCTGTACTTAGTAGTCCCAGTCTCTTTCTTTTTCTCCTCGTGACCGTCAGTGGAAAAAGAAGTCTTGTAGAGCTGACCCAGTTCTCTAAACCAAGGTCAAGCCAAAGTCAAAGCCTAGTTCAAGTGCCAAGTGCGGCTCAAAGTAATCATTTAATTTGAGTGGACGCGTCAGTTATATATTTCCAATACTGGGGCAGCCGTTCGACCATTTGGAAATCGAGCGCCCACAGTTTACTAAAATGATTCGAAACAGTGTTGCAATTCTGTTGAGGTAATTATCCACCCAGCTACAGCGACCCGTTGAAAAATGTTCTGTTCTTTCCGCGTAGGATTAGCACCACTAGTATCTACGTAGTATTTTTGTCTGGTTTTGGCACTGACCAAGTTAACCTAATGAAGTTTGAAGTTTTCTTGTTCCTATGATGAACACATAACCTAGCTCGTGCATTTATATATACCTACTACTAATCATTTTTATAGATCTAAGATCATTATACCCTACCTCGCCCCTATGATATTCTTTCCCCAGTATATGCTGTATAGTAATACCCTATAAATGTAAGACAATATCGAATAGCAGGCTTATATTAGGGACTAAATTCTATTAGAGTTAGGTTTTATAGGAATTTAAATGAAGAACTATGGATTGCTTAAATAAAGTTAGTTTGGAAATGAACCATGGCTAAATATCTTATATCGGAACCATGCAACCTCGTCTGACGGAGATGTGACCCACCGCAGTCTTTGTTGGAGGGATCCTGACTGTTAAGAGGTGGCCCTGAAGGATCATGGTAGGGTGCGCGTTCTCGCCAATGGGCGATACCGCAGCCGACAAAGGTCTGACCGGTGATCTTCTTCGTTTACGTATCCATGCTGATCTGTCCCTTTGAACTTAAAGCCCCGCGCTCGAGGTTAATCAACTTACTAGGCATAGTAACGAACCTGTAGTATCTGGCCGGATAGGCCACTCTTCTAAATAGCGCGTTCCAATGTTTCTGTCGGATTAGGTTTCAAAGTGGATTAGCTCTACTGCCTACCCACAAAAGTGGGAGCGTGTTGTTTGGGGGAGGAACTTGTCCATACCGTTACTGATCATTGTCTGCCGTTTTGGCCTGGATCAGGTTAGTCAGTGGCTTAGAGCTGTGGCCTCCCGCATACGAAGGCAATAGAATCGGATATAGTATATTTCCTGGGTCAGCATAAACTATGTCTTCTTCTTTTGTTATACCCGATACTCAAAATGAGTATTGGGGTATATTAGATTTGTGGTAAAAGTGTATGTGTGTAACGTTCAGAAGGAATCGTTTCCGACCCCATAAAGTATATATATTCTTGATCAGCATCAATAGCCGAGTCGATTGAGCCATGTCTGTCTGTCCCTCTGTCCGTCCGTCTGTCCGTCCCCTTCAGCGCCTAATGCTCAAAGACTATAAGAGCTAGAGCAACGATGTTTTGGATCCAGTCTTCTGTGATATGTCACTGCTACAAAAATTATTCAAAACTTTGCCCCGCCCACTTTCGCCCCCACAAAGAGCGAAAATCTGTGGCATCAACAATTTCGACGATACGAGAAAACTAAAAACGCAGAATCGTAGAAGACGACTATATCTTCTAGAGTGCAAAATCTGACCGTTTTGTGTCAAAATTTCGCCACACCCCCTTCCGCCCCCGCAAAGGACGAAAATCTGAGGCAACCACAAATCTCAGAGACTATTAAGGCTAGAGTAACCAAATTTGGTACACACACTCCTTCAAGATGTCACTATAAAACGTATATCTCAGAATTTCGCCCCACCCCCATCCGCCCTCACAAAGGACGAAAATCTGTTGCATCCACAATATTGCAGATTCGAGAAAACTAAAAACGCAGAATCATAGAAAATGACTATATCTATCCGGTTGCTGAGTTTGGATCAGATCAGATAATTTTTGTAGCCAAAAGGAAACAAATCAATTTGCATTGGCTACGCAGCGCCCGACGTCACGCTCAGACTGATTTTCTGTCTCTCTCGCACGCACTCTTTGTCGTGTCGTTTAATATTCGCGGCGTCTTCCGGAGGAGAGCCATACTGACTTAGTATCGGGTATAACTGTAGAGTTGCGGTGTCCGCAGCAACTCACAACGTTCCCCCTCGTTTTTCTATTGTTGTTCCGTTTTTGTTTGTGTTTTACAGACGTAGGTGGAATGGCTCTGCTGTACTGTGGTTCTGGACAATTTGGTGGTCCGCGATCAAGAACTTTTTTGTGTTTTTGCGACCTACAGTATAAGGAGAGGGACATCGGTTTGTCAGGGTTTCGGATTGCTCGGATATCCGTCAGTTGTGTAGAACTACCGAACGGTCCCTGTTCATCCGATGACTCATTGTAATGATTGTCGATCGTTAATAATATCACCAGAGTCAGTGGGGGACACATTCCTATTAGACGAAGGGTGCATGGTTTCCGAATTTTGTGGATACAGAGTAGATATATCGATCGTTAAAAGTTAATAATCCAGAGTAGAACAGAAAATCATATATTAGTAAAATTATGATAGGATGTCATTAAATTGGAGTTGTGACGATATTGATCCAAACGACCATTCCGATATTATCTGCTGTATTTGTGTAAGACAGGTAGAATATCGGACACAGCTTTTAAGAACAAGTTGTAACCACGTATTTCATTTAGTTTGTTTTAATACGAGAAGAGGTGAAAAGACCGTGTGCCCGGCGTGCAACAAGCCCCTACAATCATCCGGCCCTAGCTTAGCGGAGGAATTAGCCGTAGCGCAGGCGTCCGCCTCGAATGTAGAGTCTTCTAAGCTTCTAATGAGAACCAGATCATAGCGTGTGACAGCAGCTCCAGCTGCGAATACTGAAAATTCACCTTCTGTTGGTCCAACTGAAGTCGGTGTACCAATCATGCCAGTTCCGAGTAGCGAGCCAGCGAATGAAGCAAGCCCAGGCTTGGCTCAAATGGCACAGGCGTTGACGGACGCTATGGGTCATATCGAGTTGTTGTCTCAAGCCATGACTGAAATGACTCAGACTATGGAAATAGGATTTCAACGTTTGGCAAGTCCAACGGTACAGCCACCGAATGACCAAGCTGCTGGATCTTCACAGCCTAGTGGAGAAAACCAAACCTTCGAACAGTTGTTCCAAATACCAACTCGAGAGTTCGGAGGTGCCCCGATAAATCAGGCTAATGATTCTGCTGTCTCGGTAACCCCATGGAGACCCCAACAGATAGCGGGACTACGACCGGTTTTCTGGAAATTCGTCCATATCGGTGGAAGATTTCATATATCGGATAGAAGCGTTAACCAAACAGAACTTAGAGGGTAATCTCGACCTAGTGGCCAGAAACGCCATTTATTTATTTGAAGCCAGTGCTAGCGAGTGGCTTTGGCGTTACCATAAAAGCGTACCCTCCGTGATGCCCGAACCCCATGTCCGAAATGTCGCTGTTGGAAGTGCTAAAGTCGAATCTGTTGGCCGATATCCAACATGAAATTTTATAC